CGAAAACAGTGCATCACTGTTCCATCTCTTAACAAAAAGCCTAGATAGGTTTGCAAAAGACGTTTGGCACACTTTAAGCTATGTTGATAAATAAGTTTTTAATTTGGCCAGATTATATGTGATAAGCTCTAAATAATAGATCTACGCTCAGTTTTATGCGCTGAATCAGAAAAAAGAAACTGTAGAGTTTTCAAATGAAAAAATAGAAAACTTGTGTTAGTTCGAAAAGTTCTATAAAACCATGTATAAAAAAAGTCAAAAAGAAAATAGTGCTGTAACTTCGAATTACGTGCGCCTTAGAACTTAGCTTAAATGTGAAAACGACTTATACGTTGATCATTTAGAAAAAAAAGAAGAGCGTCTGGTCTGGGAAAATACCTGTATGGCGATTCATTCATCTTGATTTAGCCTTGTGTTTCTAATCAAATAATACATTTAGTGGAAAAAGCGTTCGTACGATGGAGAACAAAAAACTTGTAACGTCATTATCTTCTGAAGAAAGAACGATAGAAAATTTTTTTCTTTACCACTCAAGAGCACGAAGTCTCAACTTTTTGTTTGTTAATAGCAAATGTGAATCTCAAGTCTTTTTTATCAAAAGATTTGAGTTTATCTTAACTCTGATCTGCGTTTTTCGCTTTATAAGTATATGTACGTTTACTTTTTCGCCTGTATTTCGATATTTATCAAATAGATAGAACTTTTGTTTATATATCATTCAAAAGAGCAAAATCTAGGCTACATGATGGAAAAAAAAATTATCAAAAATAACATATGGCTAAGATGAAAATCGTATTTTTAATTAATTAGTCAATTTTTATATAAAAATTTATATGGTCTAACTGAAAATCATCAAAACATAACTTTAAATATAGCATTAGATAGCACTTGAAAAACTGCATGTACCTGTTGTACTTTAATTAAAATTGTTGAGTGATCTCATCTCATTTAAATCGATTTACGTTTTTCGCTCACTAATAACATTCTGAGTATGACTCACTAATCTACTTACTTTCAGTGTTAAACTCAAATGTAAAATCTTTTAAAGGTAATAGATTTGTAGAGAAAATAATTCTCTACAAGGTGACCCATTTTACATTTAAAAATAAGTAAAGGTTGATGAGGTGCACATCATTATATTCAGCAGATTTTTACATAACATAAAACAATGTTTTTCTCTTTTGGTTTTTTCCTTTCTATACATGTCGGCACGATATAGATGCAATAGCCTAAATTATTAATCGACCGTCAAATGAAAGATGCAAATTTGATAGCTACTTATCATTTACCTTAAAAACCTTAACATATCAAATTCTTTTTAGTGTGTGTGTGTGTGTGTGATCGATTCATTTCTCATCTTGCAACCAAGTAAAATAGACTGTCTTATCATTTTTCTACATACTCTTTCTGGTATACTGAATTTGTTAGAAGCAGTATTATTATTTAGTTGAATATTTTATTCTGTTCTTGTGAATATTATTGAGAAAACGCGTCTATGTGTCATATATACTAGTGGTAAACGAGAAGGTTTTTTGTGTCATATTTTGCATTCTCTCGTCGTCATATTCATGATGATATACACCAATAGATAAAGAAAACCAGTAATAAAACACCTGTACATAGCAGAGAGCGGGAGAAGACAGCATATATGAAACATAATTTAGGAAGAGAGAGACGAAGAAAATGTACAGAATGTCAATCAACTAAAAAAACTAATAATTAAAATAATAATTAATAAAGAATATACAAAATCAAGCATATTTCTATGTTTGCAATTAAATGAGATTGTAATAATAACCTCATTCATTTTATTTTTCACTAAAAGGTTAATTTATATTTCACCTAAAAGCAGTCATTGCAAATCTAATTTGAATAGCCCAAATTATTGGTATCGGATAATATACTATATACTTATAAAAGCAAGAATATGATTTTTTCTGGTAGATGTTATTCTCACGCTTCTACATTAAAGAGGATCTCACACTTTTATACTATTTTGCATGTTAACTTCATTTTACACTTTACGCAAGTAATCTAAACTCTTACGCCGCTTTAGTATTTTGTCATAAGAAAAACTTCGTTTTGCGCTTAGAGTAGGACATTTTTGATTTCGATCGAACATCGATTATTCGAAATCGAAAATAATCGAAAATGTCTTACTCTAAGTGCAAAACCAAAATTTTTCTTACGGCAAAATACTAAAGCGGCGTAAGAGTTTAAATTACTTGCGTAAAGTGTAAAATAAAGTTAACATGCAAAATAGTATAAAAGTATGGAATCTTCTTTAATGTGGAGACCTGAGAATAACATCCATCAGAAGGAAAACAGACTTCAATTTTCGGGTAACTCGAAACTCGATGCATACCTAGGCGTGATTGCTGTCTATTTATTAAGTTGGCAAATCTCGAAAACAGATGGCAACCCAGAAACTGATTTTGATATCTTAAATTCGACTTGTTTGAACTAAATAAATTTTTGTTTTACAATTGCTGTTCCGTTATAGAAAAGCGCAAGCCTAGACCTTGAACTGGTCCTTGCTACGCGCGCCGTCTCAAGTTTCCAAGGCTTGAGCTTTTCTGTACCGAAAAAACAATTGTAAAACAAAAAGTTATTTGACAATACAGGTTATCACTACGCTGAACATTGCGTTACAATGTTTATTTTTCCGAAGAAAATTCAAAAAATTCAGTAAGAACGTTAACTTTGCTGCTAAAGGGCTATGTCTTGCAAGTGCATCTAAATACTCTTTCCAGAACATATCCGCATTCGATAAGGTAATGAAAAAAATAGGAGTATTCAACTGAATGCATGTGTTCCTGTGTTTTCATTAATTTCTGATAGTCCCCTCAAACCTAACGGTCGAGGGGTACTAAGGCTTCGTGAAAATGTCCATAGCTCCTGAGCCACGGATTTCCAGAAATATAGCAAAATAAGAATGTCGAGTATTTCTCGGCGAACTTGTTGTCAGCAAAACTTATATGGATATTCTTCTTAATAAATTGGTGAAAGCGGTCGTTGTGGAAGCAAATGAGTTAATCACAAAATTAAAATCAGAACTACGTTTTACATGATTTTCCACTACAATACATTCTAACGTTTTTTTTTATAAAGAAAGAATCGTCTGGAAAAGATAGGATTGACAGTTGATCAAAAGTCTAATAAAATATTTGTACATTCGGCTCCTTTTCAATACAGATTATTATAAAGCTTTCGAATTTTGAGATTATTCACAAAAGGTTCCTAAACAAGTAAAAATTCAAGTTAAAAATTAACCTTTTCTTTATTCATATTCAAAAAGAAAATGGAAGTATACCTTATTTTTGATTGGAAATAGTAATATCAAGGTAGAAAAAATTTTCATCGAGTACAAGTTTTCTTTTGCCTATTAGCCGGTCTACGGGTTCTGTTTATGCTCAATAAAAAATTTGACCTTTCTGAACAAACAATCACCAGATGAATAGCTATTGATCATCGGTACAAAATGTCAAACACGTGTCAAATAATTACGAAGTCTTTCGTTTTCAAAGTTCACAATTTATTCGCTTGGCTGCAAGTCTGGCGTCATACAAAATAAATGTCGGTGTCTGCAAAGCACAAAAATGCAATAACTGGGAAAGTATAAGGTTCTGGGTTATGAAAATAATATAGTGTAGTTAATCGGCCATGTCGAGTCGCAAAATGGCTATGAGCTAGGAGAAAACGTACATTTCGTTTTTCTCGTGAATGAGAAGAGATGAAACCGCGATTTTTTCAGGATGTTTAGTACTTGATGACTACCATATAATCACATACAAATATTACCTATACCTCTCATCCGATACATTACAGCAAGATCGAAACGAAGCTTCATGGAATACTTTTGTGAGCGATCGATCTCGTTATTATGAACTTACGTTGAATTCGGACTACTTGCAGTAGATAGTACTCTCAGTATACTATCCGGAATCACCGTCAAAAGTTTGGGATAAGCAAATTTGTTACAGAAAGTTTTGCGACCAAAGTGGAAGTAAACGGTCAGCGTAAGCATTCACTTTTCTGTCTTAATGAAAAAACTGTATATTTTTCAAAAGAATACCATTGGATAGCCCGTGAAATTCTCTACAAACTGAGCTGGTCAGAAAATCTAGACAGGTGGAGCCAGTCATTAAAGATATGCTAAAGAGGCATTTGAGTGCTATATATGCACCACAGTGTGTTATAATCAAGCTGGAACCAATCTGAATACTGTTTTGAATAGCCCACAGATGTTTCTATCGGATGAGGTGCATACTGCCATTTTATGAGGAAACTTAATTTTGGAAAATCTGAAGGCTAGAAAACCAAGTGTTTCATTGAGTAGGTGTACAAGTTTTCTTTTGCCTATTAGCCGGTCTACCGGTTCTATTTATGCTTAATAAAAAATTTGACCCTTCTGAATGTCTTCTGTATGCAAACAAGTGTCAACAAAAAGGGTAGGAATTCATCGAGCTTGACCACGATATTACAGTTTCCAACAGTCGTATTTTGTTTCTATTATTGGAACAAAGAAGAACGCCCATATTTGTTTTTCAATCATCGTTTATCTTTTTTTTAACCTTTTCCTTATGAACCTGTCCAATTTTAGCTATTCGTTGCTATTTCAATTCACTCTTGGATTATTAACTTAACAGTTTACATCTGGCCCAGCAGTTGACTGAACCGCATTGGAAAAAGGACATGAATCTCAAAAGAGCAGAACAGTAGAGCTCAACAGTATAATCAGCATTAGAAGAAATACTTGAATGTCGAGAATGCCTTGGCCTTGTCGTATTTTTCCTCTGTGATTCGACGTGGATACTGCTGGTGGCAGATCCCACTTTTCCTCCGGTAAATGCTGCCAATTTGGTATTATCCGGTTAGTCGGGTCCATAGTCTACCAGATGGAAATATGAGAAGAGAAATGGAGCTAAATATCAACTAATTCTTTCATCCGCCGCGATCTTGGCCATTTGTTTCTTACACTTTTCTGCACTTAGAAATAGATGGCTAGGACGTCAGTCGTGAATCAGCAACAAAAAAGATCTTACCTTCGATGTTTTCTATCTAATAGTCATCTCTCAATTCTCAAACGCGGTTTCATCTCTTCACATTCACGAGAAAAACGAAATGTACGTTTTTCATGCGCATAACTTCTCGAACTTTACTCCACTCGAAAAAATTTCATATCTACAGAACGAAAAGTTTAGGAAGCCGACAAATTGGATTCATAGGTTTCCGACCGTGCTCTACAAGAGGAGGCTACTTAAAAAAAAATCTGAGATACGGATTAACTTGGCTTGTTGTGGCTTATGTATAATGGCTTCTAGGAGCAACCCTATTGGTCGAATGCACGTTTTCCCCATGGAGGCTTGTGATTTTTTCGGAAAAGGTACTTTTTTTAAATTTTTGGATGGACAATTGATTTCTAAATATGTAATATTCGGGTTTTTCTACTTACGAGGGAACATAGGTAACTGACCAATCGTTTTTTAATGAAATCTAGTGGAGTATAGGTAAAAAATAGTGCTATATCCGAATATTGGCATGAGACGGGCCGCTAGGTCTTGCAAGTATCGGATTTCTGGGAAACCAGGTTTCCGGAGCCAGAAACTTTTTATTCCAAAACTTTTGTCTGGTCTGTCTCGATTTTAGAGCACATCGAGAAACCTATAAAAAACTAGTTTTGGGGCTTTTTAAAGTGTTTTTGCTCCCTCAAAAAACCTCAGTGTACGGAAAAGAGAAGAAAAATCGGCTGTGAGAGAGAAAAGAGAAGAAAAAGCGGGCTGTGGAAGGGTTCCAAAAATCTGAAAACTAGTTTTATAGGTTTCTCGATGTGCTCTACAATCGAGACAGATCAGAAAAAAGTTTTGGAACAAAAAGTTTCCGGCTCTGGAAACCTGGTTTCCCAGAAATGCGGTACTCCCAAGGCCTAGCGGCCCGTCTCATGTCGATATTCGGATTCAGCACTATGTTTTACCTATACTCCACTAGATTTCATTAAAAAAACGATTGGTCAGTTACATATGTTCCCTCGTTAGTTTCTAGTTTTGTTTCTTCGTCGTTGCTGTTTTCTTTTCTTTCTTTCTTACTCTCTTCCGTGTGATGTAATGATATTCTCTATTCTCTTCTTTTCTTTCATTTCTGTGTTGCAACTTGATAGCTTGAACAATATATACCAATACAGCCAAAACAATATAAACCAGAGATTCCGTATTTGAGGTGAGTTTAAAAGTAAAGGTTCAACAAAACTCAGGTACTCCTAATTGAAACGTCAGTTACATCCGATGTTTTTTCATACTTGTCTATACAGTCAGCATGCGTTTTTCTTTCCTTGCAAGTATTGAGACAGTTCTTTTCTTATTCAGTCCCCGCCGGATTGTCATTGAAGTTGCAAGGACAGTTCCATTCTACGTATGATTTTGTCGCTAGTTCAGTGTGCTTGAACCTATGCTGCTCTTGCTCTAATTTTCAAGTGCAGTGTTTGTTTTACTATTGTGATTCAGATCAAAACACACGGAAGCACCTTAGGCATTAAATAAAAGCTTTTTACATTGTTAAAGTTTTGACGAATGATAGAAAATTATTCATTTGAATAATATTTGCGAACTATATTGAGTTAAACGCGGTTGAGAAGACATATCAATATAAAATTCCTTTTCACATTGTATCACTAAAAAGAATAGCAGAGAATTTTTTTCTTTCATACCGTGTTTTGCTCGTGTAAGTTATGTTAAATTTATACATCTTTTGATCCATTGTATCCTCAAAGTTTTGGCTAGAAACAGTAACAATTTATAAATAAAAATCGGCAATAAATGAAAATCAGTTGATTAGGTAAAAATACAGGAGTGATATTTAGATTATTTTCCTCCGTAGAAAGACTTTTGCATTCAGTAGACATCTCATCAATTATTTTGGTTGTCTCGCGTTAATACATTTTTCTTGTTAATGTCATTTTCTGTTTTTATCTTCAACCACATTTAAGAAAAGAAACAGACTCGATTGTCCTATTTTTTTCTTTCCGAAACGATAATGTGTTTACTTGGTCTATAACATTTTCTTGATCTTCGTCCGAGGAATGTCATAATGGAACATTTCTTTTCTTTGTCTTTCATATCATGGGGAGATATACTTGTTTGTCTTTAGTATTGCATTCATAGCCGTATTCCCCACACTCATTACCACACCCAATACAACTATACCTTACCATAACCAACCCTACGCTTTTAACCTTACATTTACACCTTCTACTCATGCCCACTCTGAATAGCATCATTTCAAGTATCATTTATTACGACTTTGAGGGGATGCATATATGCTTGGGAAACATTCATAGGTTTTCTTTGCTTGCCGAGCAAAATTTTATTTTTTTGAACTAACTATTGATCAGCAAGGGTAGAGGTAAACTGCTCCGGCCAACTTCTCATTACACTTGGTTTCGAAAACACGAAAAATAAATTAAACGGAATAAGGATCTAATAATTATTTTTCTTTGATGTTTTAGTTGTGTGAAACAATATCCAAAAATTCTTGGTGCGTTTTTATCTAATATGCAGGGTAAGAAATATTAATTATTTCGTCCGAATGAAAATCTGAGTTTTCGTTGAGTTTATTCATGCGGAATGTGAATGCCATGTGCTTTGTGTTCATATCCATATGTTACACAGTACCGAAGCTTTGAATACTCTACTACCATCGAGATCTGATGATTTCAAATATTCTTTATTTTTCTAACATACAATGAAAAGTAACACGCAAATCACTGAATAGTAAAAAAAGTCAGTTTTTTTCAGAGACAACTAGATTAAATGTTATATAAATAATTTCAGTTGATTAATATGTTTGTTCCATGATTCTTTATTCTACTCGGTGGATTCGAATCTGCTAACACTTCTCATAGAAGAAAGTATAGATGTTATTCGTTCTATACTTTCCGCCTTTTTTTTCTCATTTCAAGGTAGAATTGGGCTTAGATATTTGTCGAGAATTAGCCTTGTTCTTGTGCAGTGATTAGGGAGCAATCTTGTATCATTTTAGAATAAAGAGTTTTTCGCTACATCCTCAATCTGTGCTTCATTGAAGTGACATTTCGAATCATGAAGGTGACAAGTAACGATCTACTTTTATAGCTGATTTCTCATTGAAATGTATACTTTAAAATAATTTTTAGACTTTGATAATGTGAATAATATAATAGAATTTCACATGTGTATTAGAAAGAAAACGAATGATCTGCTGGAATTTATACGTTTAAGAAACTATCGATTCTCTTCAATTCAATTGATAAAAATAAACATTATTCCATTAAAGATTGCAGTTAAAAACGGTTCAGCAACTTCAACAATTGAGATTTAGTTTTACTAATTTTGCACATCTAATTAGTCAATCATGTGCAACAGCAAAAATAGTGATTGAACGAGAGAGAACTCTAAAGTATTGCGCTTTTATCTTTGGTCCACATGTTTGACCCATTTTCTTTTATGTAAAAGAGGAAATAAAAACAGTTTCATATGATATCTTGATTCATCAGTTGTAGATCAGAAAAGTTTAGATTCATGTGAATAAATGTTAGAAATTACTCGTCTTTAGAAGAGCTTCCATTATGATGAACCAAGACAACAATCATTTAATTGAAGACAAACGAGTTCAACAAAAAATACCAGTTTAGAGTTATCTCTAGTGAAATTTCCGAAGGAGCTCTTTTTCTGTTCAATTTTGATAAAGGCCGAATCGAGTTGGTCATCAAGTAACGTAGAGGTGCGAATAGAATTAAGGCTGATAGTCTTTGTCAAAGAGCTTTTTTAGATCAAATCATAAAAACTTTTTCGTAGAAAAAGACGTTTCAATGAATTGAAGAGTCATATTGAATATACTTAAAAATTTAATTATGTATGACGTACGAGTTTTGATGGATAATTCTTTCTCTTGGAAGAATTAATTCAATAGTCCAAGAGGGTAGTCATCGTTACCAACATGTGGTCTGTTGATGAACAATCGAAGAATATGCGAGTTTGGTTTTATTAAAAAAGTAAACATTAATGCTTTAAACGGAACGATTTGTTTCGCATCTTTCGCAATGGTTTCTACATCATTTAAAAATTTATGATTTTTTAAAATAGAATTTTCTTGAAGTGTTCATCCACTTACACTGACATCCAGCCTTGTTAGATTTTTTACGCGAAATCCTCATGAATGCATCGGTGTGTGCAACATTGAAAATACTTCGGAAAGAATTTGCTGTAAAAATGTTGACAAGTTTTTTGTTTCTTTTTCTTTTGCATTTATTGTAGCTAATCGCAATCTACCTGACAACGCACAATGGGTACAGGAAGCAGTCACTGTTGCTGGAGGCAATGAAAAAGGTGATGCACCCAGCCAACTCAACCATCCTCATGGCCTCTATATAGATGACGATCAAACGATCTTGATCACTGATTACGGGAATCATCGTATTGTCAAATGGACGCCTGATGCAACGAGTGTGGGCGGTGGCAAGGGACAAGTGGTGGCCGGTGGCAATAGAGGAGGAGATGGACTTCATCAGTTGTTTAATCCAACAGATGTGATTGTCGACAAAAAGACAGACAGTCTCATCATCTGCGATGCGATGAACAACCGAGTTATGCGATGGTCTCGTCAAAACAGAACAAACGGAGGACCGATCATCTCGAATATCACTTGTTGGGGATTGGCCATGGACGATAAGGGATTTCTCTACGTTTCTGACCGAAAAAAAGCCGAAGTAAGACGATATACAATGGATGAGACGAATGGAACGGTGGCAGAAGGTGACAACGGAATAGTGGTTGCAGGTGGCAATGGAAGAGGCGAGGGTCCCCATCAACTCGCCTTTCCCACTTACCTCTTTGTCGACCAAAAACAGTCTGTCTACGTTTCGGACTCGGACAATAATCGTGCGATGAAGTGGGACAGAGATGCTACAACAGGGTGTCTCGTGGCTAGTGATAATAGCGGCGGGAATGCTATGACACAATTGTCGAATCCTCAAGGAGTGTTCGTTGATCAGTTGGGCAGAATTTATGTGGCAGATTCCAATAATCATCGAATAATGCGTTGGTACGAAGGAAATGAAGTGGAAATTATTGCTGGTGGTAGGAACGGCCCGGGAAAAGAACCAAATCAGTTGTTATATCCTGTGGGTTTGTCATTCGATCAGCAGGGTAATCTTTATGTTGTGGATAATGGAAATCATCGAGTTCAACGATTCTCAATCAAAGCAAGTTGTACTGATGAAGTGTCGATGAATATCAATGGTAAGTCAGCGGAACATATAGCAACAATGGACCCGTGCAACTGGTATAAACGTCTGCTATCAGATTTTTCTATTTCTTCGGTATTTGAGAGTTACTTGGAGCCTAGAATACTTTAGCTTCAGGTTTTTTACAAGAAAAGAAAACTTCAATGATCATTTCGAACAAAGAAAAATGAAAAACAATGTTCCCTCATCATATATCGAACGCAAGATTGAGTAACATAATTCGTCGGTCGGTGATTAAGGAGCGATTGATTCGTTTCGAAACCGATTGAGGATCTTTATTAACGGATCCACAGATTATATTTCAAGCGATTTCGACCGGTCAGATTAACATCAACACTCTCCCGAAAGATAAGACTGGTTTCATGTGTGAGGATTAGTAGAAACACTATCTCGAACATCCAAAACGGAACTCGCAGTACCTTCATAAACAAAACGTTCAATGCATAGCTACTTTAAGATCTTCTGGCAGTTTTATCTATCCTTTAATTGAAACTAGTTGATTTTTGTGGCTAAAACAAGAAAAATGAATACGTTTTAAGATTCGTACTGATGATTTTTCAGATTAGTTTTCACGTTTTGATAAAAACGTCTTTCAAGTTTTCAAGGTTCGAGAACATCTCGTTTTAGCTTTCAAATTTTGATAATACGTCTTTCTAGTTGGGTTCAAGTTTTCAGAACATCTTTTGTAATCGCTTGCTAGAGAAGTTTCTGTGTGCGTATGTGTAAGAAATCATTTCGAATGAGTTACATGATCATTTGCTTTATTTTTCAACAAATGAGAGTCAAAACATTTTCGGCAATTTTCATTTTGCAACGTTCGTAAACCTTTTTCAAGGGTTTATTGCTTTAACGCGTCTACTTCTCCGAAAAACTTTGTTTTTTCAAAAGACCTAACCTCCCTATGGTGAAGACCTCTCTATAGTGGACACTTTTAAAAAGTCCCATAAGTGTCCGCTATAAGGAAGTTTTACTGTAGTTCTTTTTGACATTTTTTCTAATGTTTCGGGAGTGGAAAAAGGAGTTGCAAGTCTTTTTTATCAGCCCAATCTCTCTCATCTTAATGATAACATGAGCAAGACATAGTTAGATCAATGGGAACATAGCATAAGTGAGAATTAATAAACATATTTTCTTACTTTTAAGATGTTGATCCATCGCCTCTTGAATATCGGAACAAGACACTCGAGAAAATGATGAATGAGAAAAAAAACCAGTCGTCAGTAAACTTAATAAACTAAGGATTAACTGATCAAGACATGAAAATTGTGGCATATTACTTGTTACGAAATAATACGGTAAGAAAATGGTGTTCATTTCCATTATTTCGCGGAGTCGAAAATAGATCTCTTTGCCTTTCGTTTTGTAAAATATCAAACAATAGAAATCAGCCTGTTTCTATAAGTCCGTGTTCTCACGAAATATTGTGAAGCGTCAAAATGTAATTTAAACATAATGAATATATTACTTCTGTCAATGTAAACAAAGTTTACCGTGCAGATACACATTGTATATATTGAGAAAATGTGTAATTTCAATTACAAAAAAGGCTTTGTAAAGACTTCTAAATAAAGCGAATGTTAAAATATTAATACTAGATACAGAGTGGCTCTTGTTTTCGTGGAAATATTTTGTGTACCTACTAGTGCGAATGTTGCTTCAGACACTATTACTTGATGAATGTGGATCCTGTTTTCATTAAGAACTTCAGCAGAATTATGTAGAGCACTAACTTTGAAATACACTAGGAGGAAAATAATCACCTGCAATAAGATAACATGCGTTAGTGAGAAGATTGCAATCAGATACAGAAAATGACCAAAAAGTCGTTTTTCTGATATTCACATATAGTTCGATCGAAGTTTGCAAATATTTTATTTTGGAGGGAATGATTCTGGCAACTTTATGATCCTATTATTTAAGAATATGTAAATACATTTTTCAGTGGAGTATCTAAAACGGAATCTCAGGCCAAAACTGATATTATTTATTTATAATATCATCAAGAAACTGTAGGACTTGGAATGGATCGTTTACAAAATCGACTAACAGGTCTAGAAAAGTAAAGTACGAAGTTTGCGAAATTGGCATACGATTTTTTAATAACCATACAGATATGATTGAGAACGGAGGAGTCCAGTAGATGGCAAACAATGGTTCTACCGTCACTTTGTTAGCCATTGTATGATTACTGCGAACCGTATTAGCCTTATAAAACTTAGCAAGTATTGAATTACACATTGTGACATTCTACTGTTCTGATCTATTCTCTAGTAATTACGTTTCTAGTCTACTTTTTCGCCATGTTACCAATGTATTTCGCTCTCTGTAATCATTTTCTGTGGCATACCATAATACGAAGGCTAGCCCTATTTTTTGTTGCTGCTCGACACCATCTTATCTATTCATGAGAGCACTCCTACCGATCTTAACTGAGTGTTACAAAAACGACTAACTATGCTAGCAAAACTAATCAAATATTCAAGACATTATTAGTTTACAGTTTATTCCAATACTTACACAAAAATGCATTGAAAAGGAAGAACAAAACCTTTCAGCTGCTAGTCATTCATAAATCACATAGTCCAGCTTATTCGGTAACTAAAAACTCAAAAAATCGTTTATCTAATGGATAAACCAAATCGAAAGTATGTGTAAGAAGAGAATCGATAATACAAAACAGAAAATTAAAAGTGTTCAAACAACTTCGTCTACACTTTTTGCTATCTGATGCCTCAATGATAGAAAAATATCCACACAGAAAAAATATCTTTATTTTCATTTGAATAATGTATAACATCGAAAAGATCTTTTAGAGTAACCCTAATCGAGTCTCCCCGTGGAGTTCCATGGGAATCCCCCATTTGTACGTAGTAGGGAGAAAACTAAAAACTCCCCAGGGAATTCCAGTACTCCCTGGGGAGATTTTCTTTTTGTGATTTGATTCTATAAAGTGCATAAATATTTTTAATTTATGAGTTCATGACATATTTCAGTGATATTCTCACTGGAATTTTCCTTCCAAGAGTCTGATATAGACAGATAGATAGATAGATAGATAGATAGGTAGATAACTAGGTAGGTGGATAAATACACGGTGTTACAAAACCATGACGCTCCCCTCTACAACTTAAAGTATCAATGATATCACAAATGTATTTTATACCAAATTAAAGCGCGTCGAAAACGGGATTTACTGGTACTAAACAGTAAAGATTATGAAGACTTTTTATTGTCGAACTTAAGAAATTCTCAGAAATTTTACACTTTTTTGACGTAGAAAACTAAGGTGCCGATAATTCAAAAATAGAATAAAACTTTTTTCTTGGATATTTTCACATGGTTCGATAGAGCTCGATGAGCTCTACAAAACTGTATATACCAAAAAAATTTTAAGCCATCTTTCTGAGATAGGAAATTCGGAAAACTACTTGAAAAATCTGAAAAAATGTTAAAAAAACTCATTTTTTTGAAAGCAAAAGAAACATTCGATTTTTCAATAAAACTAGCTTTTTCCATTATCTTTACTATCTCAGA